AAAACCCAGCCTGTATAAAGTAAAAGCTGGTTATGAATAATACAAAGATTTTTAAAAGTCCCATGAATACTTGTGGCCTAAGAAAATGCATTTTGTAAAGTTGCTTGGGTTTTGGGGTGTAGTTAAAAGTTTCAGTGAGTTGGAGGAGGGGGGCACAGCTCTGTCTGGGGAAGCGGCACCCAGAAACACTGGATCAGAGAGTTTTTACTTACTTTTCTCGGTGTTGGGTTCCAGAGATATTTCACACCAAAAAATATCAGAATAAGAGAAACGAGCAGCACACTGAAGAGCAGTCCGCAGATCTGGTATCTGGTGCAGGTCTTCTTTTGTGTCTTGGATGCTTCTGCCTAATTAATGACAAAGCAGTGATAGCCAGAGGTCTGCTGATGATTCAAGGAGGGACGAGCACACACGCATATCAGACATTTATCATGCTGAGAAGCTGCACGGTGGCAAAGCAAGCCATGAACTTACATCCAGAAAGTGGCAGTCCTCCGGGCTCTCCCGAGCCGTCCCTCCCATGGTCTCCTCCGTGTGCGAGGACGCGAGCCCGCTCCGAGGTGGAGTTACAGAGGCTCTGGGCTGCACAGGCGGCGGGGAAGGCTGGGTCACTGCCGCCCCCATGACAGCGGCGGCCAGCTTTCCCCCGCGGCCTGCTGGGCCCCAGGTGCTCCCGCAGTGCTTGCTCTTTGCAGGGTGCAAACAATTCCCACACTGTTGGAGACGAGCCTGCACGAAGCTCTGCTGCGTGGTGTCCATTAGCCGCGGCGGGGGTCCCGGTGTTTCAGTTAATCCCTGCTCCCACCCTCCACTTCTGCCTGTGCGCTGATGGCTGGAGGTGCTCAGGCTGTGCAAGGGCTCCCGGGCTCCCCCGGAGCTCTGGGGATGTGCACACTGCTGCTCTCGGGGGGCTGTTCGACTGTGCTTACGCCTGCACGGGGGCTTCTGCAGCAGGGGCAGGTAGGGAGCTGCCAGCGGGGTGGCTGCATGGCGGGGGGACGTGGCATGGCAGGAGGTACAGGTGTGTGCGTGGGCATGGGTGTGCATACACGTGTGCACGTACGTGTGCGTGTGCATATGCATAAGTGTACAAGCATGATTGCATGTGTGTGTGCATGGGTGTGCATGCGCAGACACTCACTGCCAGCCCTCAGCAATGCGGTGCGAAGCCCGACCTCTCCCCATGCAGGGCTCTGGCATCCTGCACCCGCTGTGTGCAGAGCCTTGCCCCGAAGTGGGCCTAGCCAGGAATTTCCTGCCTAATTTTTTTTGCTATGTTCAAAAATTTCCATTTGTTGAAATCATAGCATTTCTTTCATGGAAGTGAACCCATCTTAAGAAACGCTTTTAGAAATCCAGCATGAAGTTTCTAGTCTGAACAGGATGAGGCTCCCTGGTGTAGAGAAGCTGGCATGTACTGTTTTTCCAAGCTGTTTGCTCTCATAAAAACCCAGAGCGCATCATGCACTAATTAAAATTGCACTGAAAAAAAAAAGGAAATCCACGTCGAGTTTTGCTCAGGGTGAGAAACGGAGAAAGAAATTGCTTTTAGCGGGTCCAGCACAGGCTTTGTGGGTGTGTTTGGGCATTGCTGCCTGCATCCCAAGGGTAAATTCAAGCGGGACAGAAGCGGAGTTGCTGAATAGCTTGGCAAAAGCATTGTGCACATGTGTGTGCAGGGGGTGTGTATTGGGTCCCTGCAAAGGGGTTTGGGCTTCTTGGCCCCAGGGTGGCAGGAGCTCCTTGCCCCACAGCCCAGCAGCAGCTCTGGGGCAGCTCCCCTTCCCTCGACTCTGTAGCGATTGCTCAGGGATGTAAAACACACTGAGGGATTTTAATATTTGAGAGGCCAATAATAGAAGGGAATTATATTGACAAGTGAAAGACATCAGGTTATTTGGAGAAGAAAAATCACTTTTTAATGGAAAGCAATCACAGGCAGCCTTTGAAAACATCTGAAAGAGTTTGGAAAGATAAATGCAGCAAAATCTGTGCAGACACCAGGTTTGTCTGTCTTCACTTTTAACCAGAAAGTTTCACCTTTGAAGCTTTTGTTACTCACTGGAAACTGAAGTATCTGAAGGCATTTTCTTTTCCTGTCAAAATTACATTTTCAAAGGAAAATTTTGGAGCAGCTCTACCGAAAGATGGTTATGATTACAGGAAAGAATTACAGCAGTGCCGTTAAGCAGACATAATTGATCAGCATAGCAGCAATCTTAACAATATCCCCCACTCAAGGCGCAGGAAACACTGCAAATACCACTCGTAAAGCAAATTAGACATTATTATTTTATTACTGTTGTAAGGTAAATGTCAAGCGTTTTAATGGCAATCACTGTAACTCCGGCAGGAGTCAGGCATCTGAATTAGCTGGAAGAGGTGAGAACCTCCCAGGGCTGGGAGTTAATAAAACTCAATAAATATCACCGGTCCCTTCCAGCGCTTGGCGAGTGCTGGGGATGGAGTGGCTGGAGTGAGCAGCGGGGGGGTGCAGGGGGGTTCTGCCACTGAGCTGGAGACCTCTTTTTGCTGCAGCCTGCACAATGGGGCACTGCTGGCCTAGAGGGATGGGGAGCTATGGGAGCGAGCACACACCATGCATGCACACATGCATGCACACGTGCAAGCACATGCAGCCCTAGAGCCAGCTCAGCCCCATGTGCCTCGGCCCCTTTGCAGGGCAGGGAGCAGGATGAGACCCCTCCACACCACTGCTTTACATACAGAGTGTTACAAATACCCAGCCTTGAACTGGGGGTTTAACAGCAGCAAAACCCTGTGCAAACCAAATTGTCCTTCGCCTTGGCAGCTATGGGCTGTGCGACAGCTGCTGGATTCCGACAGGGAGATGGACACTTGGGATGCAGAAAGGGACAGAAACTGCGGGGTGACACTGGTTAGGAATGTGGGATTTTCCCCCATTCCCCAGTGCTCTGGCACAGCATTCACAGGGTTTCAGAGAAAGAAAAAAAAAAAATTCCATGAAAAGAGAACAATTTTGGGGAAAAAACCCTCAACATCTTTAAGATGACAGTCAGGTTCTCTGTATAAAAAGCAGTTCTGATGGAAATGTCCCATCAGCGCCAATGAAGAGGGAACAATCACTAATTTTCCTTGAAGCTAATGAGTGAGAGTGTGTATGACAGGGGAGAATTTAATCTGATGTGAATGGAAGAAGAGAAGCAATACTGATATTAATGTGTGACTAATTGATACCCAGAAGAACATTTGAAATGATTAAAAGGCATTTGATTTTTATGCAGGACAATAAGAGGCTCATTGGCTATGACTGGTGCATCCTTTCAGTTTTCTACTTTTTGCTCCAATTTGCCCAGAAAAATCTATCATATCTGCAGCATAGCTTGACTGCCACATAAAATCTCTGTGCCTGGAAACGTTATACCAAGAAATTCCTCCTGGACAGCATGAAGGTTTGTACACGGTGTGAGTGGGGATGAGAAGCCTGGCAGAAATAAAATACGTTCCCAAACCACTAAAAAGCAGCTCCCCAAACCTGTGGGGCTCGGGCAGCAACCTCCAGCTGAAAACCCATCATGATTGATATGATGCTCTTTGTTATAATGAAAAACCCATTAAGGTCAGTGGCAGCATCTCTGAGCAGCACTAAATTGGAACAATGGAGACAGTAAAATTAAAAATGAGCCATAGTATTAATGTGGATAGTGAATTAATTGGGCAATTCCATAGGTAGTAAGTAAATCATATCATTTACCATGGGATGTAGTGTCTCGTGGCTCTTGCTCCAGGGTGGTGTGGTGGCAGTGGTGGGACCCACTCCTGGATGGAGCTGTGGGAGTGGCACAGAGCCACAGCACCCGGGGTGACCCCGCTGTGTCTGCCCCCACCAGCCTTCACCCGTTCTCCTTGGGTGCCTTTACAGGGCCTCTCAGTAAGGGAAGTGCCTCTTGCTTTGCTCTTTTAGGTGCTCCAGCCCCAAAGTACATCCAGAGTGCTGGCTTACAGCTTGTCCGGGCTGTTGCATCCATGGTCCAAGGTGTCTGTCCCCTGGTCCTCAGCTGTGGCCCAAAGTGTCTGTCCCTTGGTCCTGCAGCTGCAGCCCAAAATGTCTGTCCCCTGGTCCTGCAGCTGTGGTCTGAAGTGTCTGTCCCCATTTGCTGTTGCACATATGAAGCTTTGAGCAGGCTGCCAGTAGATTTACAGGACACCTGTTCCCCTGGTTTGGGTGGGTCTCTCAGGAAAGGCTTCCTCGCCTTTGAGAGACCTGTGCAGTACCATCATGCAGCCCTTAGCCATCTCCTGCTGCTTTTGTATTCTCCTGCTGCTTTTGTGTCTTGGACTGGGACCCACTGTGGCGGCAGAGGGCAATGATTTATACCGAGGTGAAGCATTTGCATGCATGTCAGTCAGGCTGACAACTCTCTCCCAACTTCGAACATCCTGGACAGAAAACAGAGAAAGTGAAATATTGCTCATTAGCCAGTGTCTGATTACACAGAACCGTCTCTGCTTCAAACTGTCCTGCTTTCTGTAACATTTGCCAGATGAGAGGACACTTACCTCCTCTTATCCACTAGCCACATATGGCCTCAATTGAAGGGAGGTTTTGGTAATTGGCCTATTCATCATTCATTGTTTATCTTAAGTTCACATTGTCGTAGGGAACTCCAGAGACATCCTTGATTTAAGTTAAGAAACTTAATCATTATGATAAAACTGCTTGGGGATTTGGACTTCATGTTGGAGATGCACATGGCCATGTGGCGCTCTGGCAGCCTGTAGCCACAGCAGATTATGCAAAGCTGACAAAGCTTTTGGAGAGAATAGAAAAAGATAAATTCGTGGTGGCTGTTCTGATGGAGCTGCTCAGAAAGTTATTACCGAAGACACACGCTTTTCCTTGCTCACAGCCCGTGAAAAAACCCTGCTCCTCTGAGCTCAGGGGGATGTCTACCTCATTGCTGCTTTTGTGATTCCCTCGTCAACAGAAGTTATTAACAGTGCTGGAGAATTTTATCCAAATGCCGGTTTCATCTTGATAAACAGCAATTTCATGTCTCTCTTCTACTAGACGACTACACGGTTTTATTTCAAACACTTAACTTCTTCAGAAACACTTCCCCATGCACAGGGCTTAGCTCATCTACAGAATATGTGCTGAACAGTTTTTATTTTCACCAGGCTTCGAATATCTGTAATGCAAAGACCAAACCCATAATGCTGCACTATCGTAAGTCACTTCTCCCAATAAAGAGCTACTTCCTACTGGGAGTGCTAAAATGTAATTGAAAGCTACGTGTGCATTGGTGTCACACTGAAAAGGATTTTATTAAAAATAGTTTAAGGGTTGTTAAGATCTGAAGGAATAGTCTACAGCTCCTCTTGGATGTGTGAGAAAGGAAACCAAGAAGAGGATAATGTGGGGAGTGAGGGGTCGGGGTTTCCCTCTGCTCTGCAGTAATCACCCCCCAGTGCCCATCACCCAAAGCCACCATAACAGGGACTACTATTGGGTTCCATGTTCATGGCAGCAGACAGAT